ACAATTAGTATATTGTAGTATATGTAATTATGTAAGCCTTTTTCACTAGATTATCGTTACACAAACCTCTGGTTTCTTAAAGGTAAGATCTCTCGTGTACTATGTAATCTGGGAGATCAGACCGTAACAGTTCCTGCCATTTAACAAAGATTCATCATCTCTACATTATGAAACTCAGCAGCTGAAACAAACGAGAAAAAGGACAAAAAACAAACCAACTTCTTGCTTAGAATGGCTTGATCTGCGTTAGCTATTAAGGTCTGTTGCAAAGAAAGCAAGAGAGCAAAATTAGGCCCTGCATATCACAGATGCATTAGCTTGCCTATGCAACACCATTTCACTCACCTCTTTTATTCGCCCTTCCTTGATCTCATCAATAGACTGCAACAGATTCTCCAATGTACCTGATAATACAATAAGAGTGATTTACAAGGAACATGGGGCACAAATCAATGCATATAGTATACGAGTCATTCCCAATTCCATCAACTCCTGCACATAACACAAACATCATTACCAAACCTAGATATCAGCTCCACTGCATGCACATTCCCGATTCCATCAACTCCTGCACATAACACAAACATCATTAGATCACTTTAGCCATTCTCTGGTGCTAATCTTTTTGTATTTAGCCAAATTAACGAAAGCAGCTATGAGAGGAACATGTCTAGAAAAGAATATCAGAAACACTTTCGTAAGGGCAGAGGAGGTGAGCGTAACCTGGAATATTATCAGACTTATCTCCAACAAGGGAGATGAAATCAACAAACTGTGCTGGCTCCAAATTTCCAAACTTTTTAGCAAAATCTTCTATTCCAAAAGAAGCCATCCTGGAGATAAGAAGCAGTAGTGTTGACACCAGTGAGTGAAAAAAGCATACATATTAAACAGAAGAAATTTCTAAGCCAAATCTACATCCTAATTACATAAGTAAACCTGACTAATGTCTAAGTCTAACAAGGTTTATATATTACGCGATATTCTATAATGAGACAAGACTTCATCTAACATGAATTTCTTACTCTGATCCCCGTGGTGTTAATCGAAGAAGACGCAGCGAAGGAGAAAGAATCTGAAAGAAGTCTTTGTCCGGAGAGACAACTCGAACCTGTAAGGTGGCAACAAACATATGTTCAGTCCGCAACTAGGAAAAGGACAAATTGAACAGGCCTTGAGCATTAAATAAGCAGAAACAATTCTTAAGTAGCTGAAAATGTTACTTTGAAACCGTCAGCAATGCTTCGCATAGCCAGTGTTCCAATAACACCTGGCACCTGTCTTCATAGAATTTCTACACATTAGTGAGTAATCATCACAATAAAAGGAAAATTGGAAATCATGTGTATGATTTACCTCTATAACCTTTATAGACATTGCCTTAATGGACGCTTTGAGATACTGAAGTCCTTGTACTATGGTATCAGGTGTGGGGGGACGATTACTTTTATAGGCAGGGTATAGAGTATGACGGAAGTTCATGCCTGTAAATTTTAAAGCACAGAATAAAGTACATAACAAAATCATTCCTCACACTCTGCACAAAGGAAAGGGAGAAAAGAAAAGCATAATTCACAATTATGAGGAGTCAAACGTTCTCATCACTTAGAAGTAGAGGGTTTTTTTTGATATACATATCTAATGTACAAAACAGTAACAGCAAAAGACAACAGCAGACTCAGCAATGCAGCTAACTAGGCCCTATTGGCAATTTGGCAACATATATATTTAGAAATCAATTTAAAGTGTCCATCATCAAGCTGGACCATCGTGATAGGAAGTGACCTAAGTTCTAAATTTATATATCGCAAAAGATTGCCATAGAAGCGCTTACGACCCACTCTCTTCACCATAGGTTATGACTGCCAAAAAGCTGCAAGCAAACAACCCAAAGGAGGACAAAGCTAGCATTTCACTTCAAATGTCACCTTTAGCAAGTAAGCCATAATATTTAGAATAACTTCTCTTAGACACACGGCAGGAGATCAGTTCAAACTACAAGTAAATTTTATAGAAACAATGTACTGAAGGCTTGTGTAGCATATGAAATCCTTAGCGGTGATGTTACATTTATCACTATCAAGTTAGCATGCTATCTTAACTCCCATGCAAAAAATCCATTTCTTATACTGTCAACTGATCTAACTAATATTATTAACTGTAGTTTGACTAAGGACATCGAGTTTACCTTTTGCAGAACGATAACCATTTGATCAATTAGAAGTACTGCCATAAGGAACTCCTGAAACAAGACTCTATTTTGTCAAATAAGAGTAAACTAGAGACATACAGGGCCACAAACCATTCAATCTTCTTGTCCCACATAACCCTGCTTACTAGATGATATATTTGTCAGATTACCAGTTACCACTATCATGCACTATTATCGGATTACCAGCTACCACTATCATGCATTACTAGAAAACTCTCTCTTGATAGGTTAGTAGAAGATTCCATATCAAGTGACCAATTCTTGGTAAATATATCACTATCTAAGGTCTCCATCTGCTTTCTCTTAGGCTAATCAAATAAAAAAATCAATGGTGGCCAGAAATTGGAATCTGAAAGTTCTTACCAACAACTATGAAACAAATGAAGTTGAATACTTCAATTTCTTTAAAAAAACTCCAATACAGTTTTGGGGCAAGTTGTGTAGACAAGATTCAACAAGCTGAACAATAATTATATATCATATGAAAGAGGACATATAATGAATAGTATCTCTATAGATGACTTGTGGAGCAAATAGCATCAATCGATTACGGGCAAGCATTCACACGCTAGTAAAATAATCAGGAAATTTAGAGGGCAACTATCATATTACGACTAGATTAATGGCTTATCAACTAATTTTTTCATATCACCTGACACGCAAACTCAAAGTGCTTAACTATAGACCCTAAAAGTCCCCAAAAAACCTGAATTATTCCTAAAACACCACAGGAAATAGCTAGACGTCCATGAATTTAACAAATTATGGCAAACGCAATGATGGGTCTGCTTATATTAAGACTCACCATCATGGTCGAACACCACCTGCATGGACACAGTTAATTGAGGTCAGTAGGGGATATCCAACATCAAGCAGTTAGGAAATGTGAAAAAAGAAACCTATAAGAGCTTCATCTGATTATCACAGAGATAAAGAAATGAGAGATAAAATGATAAATGGAATATACCGCCACATGGGATGGGAGAAATTTCAGAACATCAATTAGCTGCAAATGAAAACACAATGCAGAGGAGGTCAGAAGTCGAATCCTAAAGTTAGAATAGGATACTTAAGCTTTAAGTTGAGAAACACAATGCCATCCAAGATGCTTTTTTTCAATCATCAAATTTGAGTACAATACACATGAATATATCAGACACAATAAAGAATGGTTTCACTTACAAGAGAAAGGGCTGAAAATATTGTTAAAACCCAGTCCGCGTTTCCATCAACCATGATGGTGAGTCCAGCGTGAGCCAGGTGACCATGATTCAACCTTGCTGCAATTTGCCCCAATCAAATGTCACTAAGTGTGAGACCCGCGGGAAACAAAAACCACAATTCTATGAACACATGTGTAGCATACCTAAAACCTTATAGTAAGCCCTGTAAATAATGGATGTTCCATCGATAAGCATCACTCTGCCATTTGAAGAAGCAGCGCTACTTGCCGCTCTTTCTTCTGGCTTGAAGGGATATCTTATCGACTTTGGACCAACATCTTCACTTTTCAAAGCCAATATATCGCCAGTATAGCCGCCTCATTGGAGTATTCAGAAACAGCTGCTTCCAAATTACAGGTGGAAGTGCAATAGTACTGAACTCTACATATGTTGGTGTCAACATTGGACTAAAAACTTCAATGAAGTCTAGAAAGAAAAGAATAACTAAACCACAATATCAATTTTGAGTTTACAGAAACAACATTCAATTTCGATTCAGAAAAAGCTACTAAATCTTACACTAATCAGTACCAAAATTT